TTTTTTATCTCTGACAATTGCCACCACCAATCTTTGAATGAAGCTAAATGTTGCATTCCATCCTAGTTAACAGGAGCTAGCTTCCAAAGTTGTTCAGCTTTTGGACAAGTAAATAAAATATGTTCTATAGTTTCCTCAGCAAGACCACAAACTTTACAAATATGATCAACATTCATGCCTCTTTTTGCCAAGTTCACCCCTACTGGCAAAATTCCAGAAACACATTTCCATAAAAAATGTTTCATTTTACCTTTAATTCTGAGTTTCCAGAATCTGGTTCTAGCATGCTGATCTTTTAAATAGACTGGATTGTGGTTTGTCCATCTTTAGAATCTTTTGCTGCATAAGAAAAGCATAAGTATTAGAAACTGAGAACCTCCCTTTTTTATGTTGAATCCATATCCATTCATCATCTGTTTCTGGGTTCAGGGTGGTGATGTTCTGTATGGCAATGCAATCTTCCTCAGAGAAATTTTGCTTGAGTTTATATACATCCCAACTCTTTCCATCCTGTGTAAGAAGCTGGTTAACCCAAGTCAAGTTAGCTCCTGCCCCTGTTTTGAATCTCACCCTTTGTCCTTTGATATCTGGCACCCAAAAATCATCCACTATTCTTGTTCTTTTGCCATTGTGAATAATAGACTGCATCCACTACCCACATCTGTCTCTAACCTTCAACCTGAGTTCCATAGCCATGATGAATTGGCCTTTCTGTTGGCTGCAAGTATAGATGAATCTTAGAAGTACCTTGACTTAAGGACTCTGCTCATCAGTAGTTGTGGCTATGTCAATACTCTCCAGATTTGTTTTGCTATAAGTGCCTCATTGAAGGTTTGAATGTCTTGGAATCCAAGTCCCCCATAATTTTTGGGCAGTGTTAAGTCATCCCATGCTTTCCAATGTATCCTCTATTTGTGTTGTCTCCCTTGCTCCACCAGAACATTGCACAAACACTTGCTATTTCCTTGCAAAGACCTTGAGGCAATAGAAAACAAGACATTGTGAAGACTGGTAGGGCATTTATGACAACTCTAATTAAAACTTCTTTACCAGCAGAGGAGAGCCATTTATTTTGCCAGCTTTGAATTCTTCCTTTCACTGCAGATAGGACATAATTGAAAGCATCTCTTTTGGACTTCCAATACCCAGTGGCAATCCCAGGTATTTTGAGGAAAAATGAAGCTGAATGCCTTGAAGCTCCTGGCAGCAGATTTCTTGAATTTCATGTGATGTGTTCTTGCTAAAAAAAATTGAAGACTTTTGTAGATTGACTTTTTGCCCTGTAAACAGTTGATAATCTTGGAGAATTTGAAGATCTTCAAGCTTTTGTACCTGAAAAACTTCAGCTTTGCAAAAAATGAGTAGATCATTTGCAAATAATATGTGTGTGAGCTCTGGACCATTCCTTGCAATTTTAAGCCCTGTAAATCCTCCTCTTGAAGCCTCAGAGTCGAGTCTAGCAGTCAACAACTCAGATATTAGAATAAACAAATAGGGGGATAGAGGATTCCCCTGTCTAACTCCTCTTGTTGCTGAAACATATCCACAAGGAAGCCCTTTAAGATTAAATGAGAAAGTAGGGGCAACTATACATGCCATAATCCATTTGACAAAAGTAGGATGGAAGCCCATTTTTAACATTGTTAACTGAATACTCTTCCATTCTAATCTATCAAATGCTTTAACCATGTCCAGTTTTAAGGATATAAAGCAGCGTTTTTCATTTCTGTGTCTATTGAGAAAGTGAATTGATTCATTTGCTATGACAACATTATCAAGAAGTTGTCTACTAGGCAGGAAGGCTGCCTGGGTTTCAGAGATACAATTTGGCAGGCAATTTCTCAATCTCAAAGAAAGAATTTTTGAAATTATCTTATAGAAAACCGCACACAAACTTATAGGCCTGAACTGAGATATGGATGTTGGATTTGGACATTTTGGCACAAGAGTAATTATAGTATGTTTCCAGTACCTGGGCATTTGACCTGTTGTAAAGAAACTCTGAACAGCTGAGCATATGTCTTCTTTTACTATAGGCCAAAAGTGTTGGTAGAATAGTGGTGACATGCCATCCTCTCCAGGTGCCTTGTTGGGGTGCATACTGAATAGTGCCTTCTTTATATCATCTTCCTGGACAGGAGCAAGAAGATCTTCATTCATGGAATCCGTGATTCTGTTAGGAATAAGTGGCAGCATAGTATGGCCTTGTGTACAGCCTTCAGAAGTGTAGAGATCTTGAAAGTAGTCTTTGATAATTCTCTCTATCTCCTTCTGATCTTCACAGAGGACATTATTCTCATTGAGCAGTCTTTCTATGGCATTTATCTTCCTTCTCTGAAGAGTGTAAGCATGAAAGAACTTCGTATTTTTATATCCTTCAACCATAAGATCCTTGCTTTTTGTTGCCAATAAATTTCCTCTGAACAGTGAGCTTCTTCTAGTTCTTTTTTGATACTGTCCCATTTTGCCCAGTTTCTTTCCCCTCCTTCTTTTCTCATCTCCTCCAGTGTTAGAGTCAAAGAAGATATTTTGTTTTTGGTTAATGCTCTGAAATGCTTGCTCCATGTCAGAAGTGCTGCTCTTGCTTTTTTAATCTTTTCTTTGACTATGAACATGGGAGTGCCAGTGAAGTTAGAGTTCCAGGCATTTTTTACTACTTCATGCACTCCTTCTTGCTTAAGCTACCTCTTGCCGAATTGGAATCTTTTTCCTTTGATTTGAGCTTGCAGATTGGCAGATAGTATGAGCATATGATGGTCCGAGGCACTTCTGAAAAGACTAGTGGCTTGAGTGTTTGGATAAGAGGCTAGGCATTCCAGCGAGGCAAACATCTGTTGTAAATATTTTTCCGGAGTAGAATCTAAAGATTCGAACACCGGGTCGTGTCTCACGAGGAAGGTTAGCCGGAATATTCTATACGTTTATTCAAAAAACAAGTAAAAGAAATAAAGATCCTAAACATTCTAATTCAAATGATTTGGTTTGCTTATTAACTACGAAGAACAACTTCAGATAAAGCAAATGAAAATAGTAAGCAACGTCGAAGAACAACTAGGATTTAAGGAGCTAGGGAGTCGGGGATATCCGTTTTGGTTCGAGTTGTGACAATTGGGCAAGTGATCATTCGGTTAAGTGATTTGAATAATTTTGCTCGTTCAAGTACTCATCCTCAATAACTCTTCGTAACAAGAGAACAAACTTGTACGGCAAAATTAACAAGTCATTTAACTCCTAGGCAATACAGTTACGAACAAGCCTAGTTTGTACGAGCCTATTTCGACCGACTCCTCCCCTTCCGGTTCTAAGAGTCGATTAGATTAGACTAGAAGGTTGTCAACCGACTAATCAATAAGAATAACCATTATCATGCGAGAATACATCGAATTCAATCGTAGATTGGAAATTGAAGTGTCACTCTTCAATAATTCTCAATACTCAGGCTCAATATTTGAAAAACCCTTTTGAAGCATAACTCGTACAAATAGAACGATCAATAAATCCCAACAATCACAAACGAATTCAAAACATTAATCCCCTATTCCCTAGCATATGAATTTAGCTACTCATGATTGATTCAACACAAACAATCTCACAACTCAAGACAAACATATTCATGGATTAGAAGAATAGAAAATCTTACGTTAAATCGAAATTGAGAGTTGAATCTGATAAACAAGATTAATCCACAAGCAGTAGCAAAATCCGAGTGCAAATCCGTGTTCGACAATGGAAAATATGAAGAAAACGATGAAAAACGAGAGAAAAGGCCGAGAGTAGGGTTTTTCTGTGTCTGGGATGCGTAAGAATGAGATCCCTCCTCAGCAAAACGCGCATAAAATAAGTCTAAGAGCAGCTAATAAAACAAACCCTACTCCTAATTATAATAGAATCGCGAACTAATCTGATAAGCAGTAGCTAGCGCCGCTAGAGGGGGGTTAGCGGCGCTAGGGGGGGGTTGCCGCGCTAGGGGGGTGTTAGCCGCGCTAGGGGGGGGTTAGCCGCGCTAGCTGCTAGCTAGC